TAAATATATGTATAAAAAAAGAGGTCAATAAGGGTTACACTTTGCTACTTAGGCTTTTTCTCTGGGCGAAGATTAATATGATTCTTTCAATCAACGACAGCTTCTTTCATGCTTACTTCTAAGACGTAAGCCGTGTTTTTTCTCCTTCTCTAGCTTTCTTTCTTTCCTATCTATCTCTCTCTCTTTTTTAAAAACCAGAGCGTTTGCGATAATTTTCAACTTTCGCCTACACTCATTTTCGCTAAATAACCGAGGGACATAGCAGGAAATCGGAAGTAACACAGGCTGTTCGCACATCTTTTTGACGATTTTCATTTTATTTACAGATATATTTTACGTAAATTTTTTGTGCCTTAAATATTGTACTTTATAACTCTTATTCTTCACTATCTTTCAACACCATAATTTCAAGACAATAAAGTCTTTTATAGTATCGGAAGAAATATTTCCTCGTTATGATCTTTCGCCCTTTTTAAGAGTCAAATCAACATTATACTATGTTTACAGTTTACATCGACCATTTTAATTATTTTGCAACTGTCCTTTGGCTTGTTAGATTTTTTTTAACATTAAAGATTTTACCTATGAAATATTCGAAGCATTCCGTTTTTTCCTTTGATATGTATTAGGAACAATTCTTCTATTTAAAGCCAAACTTTGACTTGTTTTCCTTTCTATTTGACAATATTATCTATCTTTAGAAATCAAAATACCATATTTTTCACAGCGTTTTTTGGTAGCTAGATAGGAATGATTTTCATCGGAAAGATTCCAAACGTAACTTTCCATTCATTGCTTTGTTAAAAGCGCCATTTTGCATGAAAACAAAACTGTCAAATAGCAGACGATAATTTATACTTTTAAAAATAATGTTGCAGTAAAAAAAAATTCCATAGCAGGCTATTTTTATAGCAAAGAAAAATCGTCTAAAAAATGGGCAAACAGCCTGTGTAAAAAATTCAGCTAGAAGAGTAGGTACCATACATATTAAAATACAATGTAACGAAAGGTTTATGACCTTATAACGGTACTTTCAATATTTGGTGAATTATTTTTTCTTGAAGAGACAGAATTTAAATAATCATACAACTAAATACAAACAGATAGAGTGGAATTTCCATAAGACGATAGCTCATGATTCCACTTTGATCTTCTGTAGAAGCGGTCAGCTGAGACAGATGACGTTCACTAAACTGGCTCTACTGACAGAATAAAGAATTCGTTTTTGTTTTTTAAGACTTATAAATATCCATTCAAGTTCTTTATTATTGTCTTAATATGAGCATAATTACATTTATTTATATTAACGTGTTATGATAATAAAAAGGCCTTTTTAAACAGGAATTAGTCTTATAAACATCTTATATAAAGCTTTTTACTTCTTGAAAATTCACGACTACCTTATTACTTGAAAATTATTTAAATTTTTATTAAACTACATTTTAAGCCGTTGTTTAGAATAGTATAAAATGTTCTTTTTTGCAGGAGACTACACGTTCGTGCACAGTATCAAATTCGCAAAATGGGTCGAGGACAGACCTGTCACACTTCATTGCAGTCGCCAGTGAAAAAGTACACGCGCTCAGATTTTTACTGTGACGCTTAGCTTGGTGTTTGTTCATCGTAAGAGAAACTGTCACAAGACGGCTGCTCCGAAATTAAATCGTATGAAAATGAAATTACACCTGTTAGTTTTGGTAATTTAAAATTTAAATCTGCAAACATAGATTTTAAGCGGACGAAATCTGGGATTATCTTTCGACTGCTCTTACGTCACGGGTGAGTTACTTATTATTCAAGTATTTTTCTTTTATTTCGGCACCGCGTTTTTAGATAACTCAGAATGTTTTCATCTCTGAAAGTATAAAAACTATTCAGACATTCAAATACTCAGTACACATTACATGAAATTATTTATTTAATAAACAATAAGCCTCTGCACCTGTAGGTAATACGATCTACTGGGATATCACCAAAAAGATATCTACAGAGTGGTAGAATACCTCTAGAATGATTGGCCATAGACTAAAATGACTATATTTTCCAAACCTTTTCAGGGAGAAAGCGGTTTAGATGAGAAAGAAAAAAAATCTCCACTACCACCGCAACAGCCCACATCCGCCATCGCCTAATCAATGCCAAATTTTTGCAGTGAAAGTTCCAGCTTTTGTGAAGAGGAATTCGGATGAGAGAAAATGAAAGCAGTGTGAAAAGAAGATGAAGGACAATAGAAGTCCTAATTACATTTCGTAAAACACTTTATCAGTAATAGTCAGAACCTGAACTTATTTATGTTGTGCGAGGTAGCAGTCACTTTTGGGGATTCTTGTTTAAGAGGTCGTCATGAGAGATTTCATTAAATTTATTGTCCTAATACATGCTCTGTTACAGCACTTGTTTTTAAAGGATAATAAATTATGTTACAGTTATCAATATTACAGATTTGCAAGAAACAAGATTATCCCGAAAATGGAGCAAATTTCTATCTACTTTACTCAATTTCAGTTTTATACGCGGATGATGTTCCAATTTAACAGCTGTAATCTGGGTATTTTATTGAATGATTGTTATCAGATAACACTTTTTTGCGCGAAATTTGCTTCTGTGGATGTTTTTTCGAATTCTGAACCCCTGCATTTATTCATTTTATAGTATTTTCCAAAAATACTCATTTTAAAAGTTTTGTAATCTTGTAATTTTTATAAATTTTCCAATTTTTTATGTGTCCGGCAAAATAAATTGTGTCTCGGGAAAATGTTTTGCATTATGAAATTATCCACGCAAATAAAATGCCATCATCATCTTACCCCAGTTATCCAACATACCATTAGCCAGCCAGATCATATTAAAATACTGCTTAATACAACTCTGCATGTTAACTATACAATACAATACAAATACAAATTTTTAAAAGTTATTAATCCTGAGCGGTAAAACTGCTGAGCACTGGCAGTTCCAACCTGGGTTCAGTTTCAAGACAACGGGCTGGCTGCATTGACGTTTCCGTGGCTTTCCCCATGTACAACATGTATACTGAGCCACTTAAAAAGTCCTCCACGAAGGCATCCTTAGGCAGATAACCCTAGGGTGTTTTGCCATAATCAACTAAACCAATCTAAAAGTTATCAACAATGCTATAAGAATTTTAATTTAGAAATATCGTTTTAAAATAGCATTATATCCAAATGCTAAAATTCGTATTTTTCAGTATGAAACTTTGATTTCATGTGATCCCTAAAATATATAATTCTTTCTCAAGGAAAAGAGTTTAGATCATGCAAGTTTAATAAAACATTTCAGGGAAAATTTTGCATGCTATGAATTTGCCTTTTTTTAACGTTGATTATTAGGATTATTAATAACTTACGACATAAAACCTTTACCTGGAAACCGTGTGCGTAAAAACTTGAATTTACTGATTTTTACTAAAATATATGACATAACTAAAATTATCATACTCTAAAAGTTTATCTTGCTCAATCATTTTTCTTTAACTGGAACCGTGAACTTAAGGCTGCAGTGGATGATATTTATATTGATTATTTTATAAGGTATGTTCTTCTTCCTTTCGTGGTGTACCTGGATAGCACACCGGCTGGCAGTCGGGAGGTCCGGTGTTCAAATTCCGGCGAGGGCACTGCGTATTTTTCATGTCTTCGGCTTCGATTAAACCTAATGACTCAGCAAGCAGTGCCCGAGCTAAAAGGTGGTGACCGGTCTTCTCATCCCAAGTAGTCTTTTCAAACAGGAAGTATATAACGTATTTTTTCCTTTCTTTCCACGTGCCTTCGTGGCATAACTGGATAGCACGAGTGGCTAGCAAGCGGGAGGTCCGGAGTTTGAGTCCCGGTCAACGAACTGCGTATTTTTCACGTCTCATGCATAGATAAAATCTAATGACTCTACATGTTAAGCAATCTACTTGGAACACTCTACGAAAGCAATATTTGTATATGAACATAAATAAGATAGGCTTTTATTAATAAATTTATCACGCAGTAAACCAAACTAGCATTGAATAAAATAACAATGGCATATATTACTTACTATTTTGATACTTTTAGAATGTGCCTTCTTTCTGCGTCTCATGCTGATGAAGTTAATTTATTGTGATATTTTAAGCCCAGACCGATATGGTCTTCAAATTTTGTTCATTCATATTTTTTTCCTCTTGAACGACTACCATCATCGGGCAGACAAATGTTAAAAAACCGTTTTGAGATATTTGATGCAGCAAATATGATTTTAATAACAAAAATTGCTATGTTAACAAAAATTACCGTAAAAACTTACATACCACTATGTTTATTAACTAGTATTCTAATATAAATAACAGAAAAATCCTTCATTAATGGACTTTTTCTGTTTTATATATATTAATTTGTTATTACATTCGTTAATTGTGCCTATAAATTGATAAAATTTCGCCGACTGTAAAAAAAAAAAAAAAAATTGACAAACATCTAAAGAAACATGCTTACACCTAATAAAAATTTTCGGGGTGAATGAAAACGTATTTAGGGTTAACTTATGTCGGGGAAAAAAGGCACGTTTTTCTCTCGAACACGGTAAAAATTTGTTAAATTCGTAAGTTGCAGGCAGTTAGTAACTGCAGTATTAATTTAGAAGTCAAACAACAAAAATATAATGCTGCAGTATGTTTGATGATACGTGCACATTTTTGTAATTTTTCACTTTTTTGAACAATTTCCATAATCCAAAATTTTGAAGCTAATTCGATTTTATTTTTTATGTTAAGTTAAAACTCTGCAGTTAAACTTCTAATATCTTCTCGTAAAATCGTTTGTGTTTCGTAACAAAACTGAGTGAAAAACATCAATACGGATTGAAATTTAAAAACGAAACGTCAAACCTAGTTAACGTGTTTTCTCGCCAAATAGGCGATAAGTTTGCCCAACTGTAACAGCGATGCTTATCATCCCATTTCATGGAGCGCTGAAAGATGAAACTAGTATCTTCTAGTCCCGTATGATCTTCATGGGGTATTTTTAAAACTTCCCGCAGAGAAGCTTCATCGGGCGGATGAACTCGCGTAAGAGGTTTTTTAGTAGGAATAAAAATGCTACTCAACGTAGTAAATAGCTTCAAATACTTCACGCTTAAATCATTCTCTTGTGATAATTTTATTTATCGCCTTCATTACCGGTGGACGGTTCTCTTGCTGCTTGTGTTTTGCTTCATCATAACTTGTAAAACTCTTTCTGGAAATTCTATCTCATGTGCTGAAGTAGATGCATTACCTCAGAGTTATGTGGAAATGAAATGTAATGCAGATATTTTCAGCTTACCAAACAAACTAAAATCCGCCGATCGCAGTGCGTGGCTGAAGGCCAGTCGAAGATACCATTCTTACTATATGTGGGTAAGCTTATTTTTTATCGTTCAAGGTTTCATATTTTATTTGCCACATTTGTTATGGATATCATATGATATGGGATACACTGGAAAATTGACATCACGTGCACGGAAGTATTCCTCGTGTGAAGAGAAACATATACACCAACTTGAACTTCGAGATATTGCCGAGTACTTGCTTGCGACCAAAGGAAAACATACGCTGTACACGTCGATGTATATCATCTTCGAGGCTTGCAACTTCGCTGTGGCTTCGCTACAAACCCTGTGGTTAGTAAACTTCTTTGGCGTCGCTGGTCTTGCCGAAGATCTACCAGTAGAGATCGATACTTGGTCTGAATTTTGGGATTTCTACTTTCCAGATTTTGGATTTTGCGAACTGCGAAAACGGTGGCCTGCAGTGGATGTGAATCTTTATACTAACTGCCTGTTGCCACTTAATACTTTGTATGTGAAGATGTTTTTGATTTTACTTGTGTGGTATGTGCTTCTAACATTTCTCTCCGGAATGGTCTTAATCTACAGAATAGCACTTCTAATGCCTTCGTTTCGAAAGACTTCAATTACGTTCTGGGCTCCATTGGTGGACCCATCGACAATGAAAGATCTTCTTCGAGAGTCGTACAGTGATTGGTTCTTTTTATCAAGACTTCAAAAAACTGTAACGGACACTGATTTTGCTCAGCTGGTGCGTGAGGTATCATTTATGTCGTCTTACAATGTTCTAGATAAGAAAGAGGCGGATGATAACCGATCATCTCTGAGTAATAAAAATAAATCTTTAAATGATTCGACTAGTAACGTCCATTACAGAGTAGCAAGTCCTCATGGAATATCTGCTCTTTAATTTATATTGCGCAAAGCAAAGGTTTCTAATTACCGTTTATCATTAATGTTTTTCTTAAGCAATGGATTGTAATTATTGCATCTTATTTTTTTCCCTTGGAACTGAGTAAGCCATAATAGCAATAAATCAGATAACAAAGGATACACAATTTTTTCTAGTTTTCTAAACAGAGAAATGGGAAAATGATCTCCCAATGTTGCTGCTAGTTGCTTGTTAATAAAATATTTAGTATTTTCTTTACAATTACTTCTCCAAAACTACAACCTCCAGAAACGACCAGAGCTCCCCAAAACTTAAATGAAAATCGGTAATAAATGTCAACGCTTCAAGAGTACTACCTCTGTCGAAGACCAAAATCGTCTGGAACGATGGGTAGTCATATCAGAAAGTTTTGTGTATTTTCATTGCAGATGAAAGAATAAGGAGACATTTTGATCACTTCTTTGGTGACGTCGAAAAATGAAATTTTTCTCCATTATTTTATAAGCATTTATATATTCATACAATACTGAAATCCGTATAGGAAATGACTCCCGATAGAGCTATCTCAGAACTAGTGACATCCAGTGCATTATTCAGAATTATCTAAGAATATTTTTATAATACATTTGTGCATGCATAAGAAAATGAGCAGGTAGAGTTGAAGTAATATTTTTTTGTGTGAGAGCATCAAAAATAAGTTTCAATTGACTATTATTTTGCCACTTTTTTTTGTTTCTAAGTATCAAAAAGGATTCTTTAAATTCGAAGGTAAAAATTCCGTACATAATTTGACTTGATAAAGAGTATTTATTATATCTTCATCTTATTTTACAAAACCTGCTACTTAATTTATATTTTTATCATCATTACACTTAATATGACCAATATCATTTTAGACATCACATTGTAAACTATCAGAAAATCAGTAATTCTCAAGATAGGACTTCATATGCTCGAAGAGACATATGAAAATAGTGAATATAAATCAAATAAGAAGTGGAGTATTAAATATGTTTCGCGCAAAATATACAGTATGAACTAACTGGCCTAATTATTTATAAATTTAAAGCCAATGGCCTGTTCTTAAAAGCTAGATATTATTATTGAAGGATGTTTTTCAAAGTTAAAATATAAGTAATGTAAACAAATAATTGACATAATGTATAAAAGATTGCATGAAACAGTTCTATTTCTAATTTAACAATGATGTGTGTTATGTTTAAAAATAATAGAGAATTTAGTTTTTTTTTTTTTTTTTTTTTCCTAATGAAAGTGTCAAAAGTCTTTGAGGTGCAAATTTTTTTTTATATATATGCCCAGAGTAGAAACATTTAATAAAACCAAGATATCTAAACATTAAGATTTGTTTTGTTATCAACAATATATACGAGAGCTACAATTTAATTAAGAAAGAACGCTTGTAATATTGTAATCTAATTTAAACTTCATATTTATTACCCTTTTCACGGTTTAAAGTTTCAAACGTTACAAATAAAAACTACTTCTTATGCCTTTTTTTATAATATGCATTCTTTGTTAAACACCAATCGTAAGATACGGAACATATAAAAGTTATTTAATTAAATAGCTTATACCTGAAAACATTAATTTCTTTTCATCGGTATCATGAAAATCTAAATTCATTTCCTGGAAAATATAGCAAGTACTGCTATTCTTCCTAACTGATTAGAATGTAACAATCAGTTGTATGTCAAATTTATTTTAGATTAATGCATGAACGCTGAAAGTTTGAAAAATGTTTAATACAATTATAAAGAGAGCATAGATTTTCTTTTATGAGAATATTATGATATACTTTGTTTTTAATTATATAGAAACATTTTATATAAATAAATGCATTTATCATCATGCCTTAAACGTATTCTATAATTAGACATCCACATATTGTTTAATATTGTCCAGGTTGTTATTTTTACTTTAAAATTTTTTGAAAATGAATTTTCTCTGAAGAAGGGACAAAAAATTACCAAGTAAATTATTTTCCCATAATATCAGATTAAAGCAGTTATAAAAATTATTATGTCTAATAAAATTTTACCTCTCTCTTGCATTAATTTCGAACTAACAGTTTAAGTGTATTTTTGGAAATTAAAGATTATGTCTCCTTTCTGCATCCTCCTAAATAAGTATGATTGCTTCCTTCCCATTTAGCATTTATGAGTAAAATGCTCAGCATCTTATACGCTATGACCCATTTTTTATCAGCATTGTTTTTGTAATATTCTATTAATATAAAAAATTATAAAAGTTGAACTAAAGTCAGTGGAATAATTAAGTATAAATATCGAAATAAACTAAGATCACAAGAAATAATAAAATTATGTTAAGAAATTACGAAATGGTTAGATTCATTACTTTACTGGTCTTGGAAAACCGTTTTAATTATATCCAGGAATCCTTCAATCTAGTATCACTGTGGAAAAGGATCCATCACATTTATGCATTAAATGTAAATTTATGCATTAAATGTAATTAAATTGGATACTTTTCCATAAGTAAAAAAAAAGAGAAAAAATAAGCTATGAAATCATAAAAAAAATTTCTGTTCATCTATAAATCTATGAATTCAGTAATAAGACTTTCAGAAAATTTTAGTAATTTACGAGCACATAAATTCTCTAATGATACTCTGGTAAATTTTCCGTAAATTGATGAATTCGTAAGTTTAGCAATGTCATTCTAAAAACATTCTTTAAATTTTTAACTCTGTAGGTTCAGTAATATGAACTTCAAAAGAGTAAATATGCATGCTTAGGATCACTGCCATAATTTAAGAGGCCTTAAATTTATACTGAAAAATATAATTGTAATGTTAAGTGTTTCAATAAAAGAGTGTACTGGTGTTTCATAAAGAGACACTAGCATGAAATATTACAATGAAAATAAGATGTCTACCTAACAAGTACCTCCTTCAAGAAGACTGGTATAAAACTGAATTATTAAAATACACGTAAGGAAGCAAGTCTGCAATTTTCCGGATCACTTTTTTTTCCTAGACCAAGTAAAATTCAACTTGATTTTAATTTATTTACATTTTTTTAATATTTCCTTATATTTAATTAATACAAAAATAATACAGCTTATATGTTCCTAGAAAATTATTAAAATTGGCTTATTATGTATGGTAAGTATTAATGGAAGTGCAGAGGAGTAATGTTGAATAATAATATAAGCTTACTATTATTTATTGTGTCGGGATTATTGAGTCATTCCTCAGCAAATGTTAAATTGCTTTCCGGGCGGGGGAGGAACATCACTACATTTATTACTATTTATATTAATTTCCTTTTCTATGCAAGAGTTTTTGTATTACAATATACAAACTTAACTAGGTACCTTTTAACATTGTTGGGTATGTTTCTTTGTTTTCCTTGCGTGATTTCATATCTTTGAGGGCAAGTTTTCGTTTTCTACCTTTGTTGAACTATGGAATATCTTTTTATATAATTAATATTGATTTATTTTTAGTGCAAAGGGGCTTGGCCCCTGAAGGACTATTGTTTTCGTTTTGCGATTTTGCTTTGAATCACTATAAATGTCCGTTTCACTTTTCAAACTGGTCCGCCAAAAAAAAAAAAAAAAAAAAAAAAACCGTTCAAACTGTCCTGCATTATATTTGAAGAATTAAATAATGAAAAATCTGCATAAATGTATGTATATTTCTCGCATTGTGATAAAGCAACGTTACATAGAGCCATCGAATTTTGAATGACGTAATCCTCCTACGAATATATGGGCATGTGGAAGACCAATTTGAAATTTGGAATTTGTTTTATTATCTATTTCATATTTTGTAAAACTTTAACGAATTTTTTATTAACAAACTCAAGGATTTCAAACCTATTTTTTAATTAATAAACTGACTTATATAAATAGCCGCTCAGACGAGAAAGTGGTTAATGACTCTGACTGCCATACTGAAGAGCTCAGGTTCGAATCTAGGGAAAGGCATGGATTTAAATTGTCTGTCCATTCATAGGAAACTACGGTGAGCCACCCAATAGGTGCCTCCGTAATAAAATGACCATCGCTTCTGACCTTAGTAGTGGCCAGTACCTATAACGGCTAGTACAGGCCATTTGAAAAAAAAATTGACCTCATTAGTGCAAGGATTTGATGAGTGCAAGGTCGGCAGTCTTAAAATTTAATTTACAGTCCACGCAACATCTAAATGGTAATTTCTCTGAATACCGGTATTTCAACTCGGATTCAAATACTGGTGAAAGGGTTATTTTTATGGGTGCTATCGTTTTTTCCCCCCGTGTGTAATTTTAACATGAGCCAGTTTCCTTTGGAAAGTTCTCCACGAAAGCATCCCTACCTTTAAAACATAGTAAAACTTGATAGTAAAGTGCTACAATAAAAAAAAATTTGTTGAGAGTTCTGAAAATGTTTCATGAAAAGGACTTTAAAACATGCTTCAAGGATTAGAAGAAACAATGGTGTAACAACAATATTACAACGGGGAAGATGACTTTAAAAGGGGAATGAATTTTGACCAATAAATTTAAATAATACTTTGCTTTATGAAATCAATCCCGATATATTTTGTTATTGTTGTGTTGTGACAATCAGACAAGTGGGATAAGTCACATCAGAACAGGCCCACGAAATTCATCGTGGTGTTGTGTAGCGAATTTAATTTAATTAAGTGATTCATAAAAATCAAAATTTTAATTTGTAATTATTCAAAATTGGAGCTACACAAGTTTGGTTATATTCTTTTTTGGCCTATTAATTCTAATGTAATATATTTTGGCTTTCCGAGTTTACGCGAACTGCGTCTTCAATCTTGTACACGCAAACAATGGATAAGTGAATTTTTTTACGTAATAAACTCAGTTTTTCATCAAAAATTAATTTGATTTCTTATATTTAATATCATTAGTTTCAGAAAAATTAGCTCTTTAATTTGGCTAACTTTCGTTTTTCTAACTTTAATTTCATTCAGTTGACTTTAATTAGTAGATTTCTTCGTTGCTTGGGATTTAGTTAAAGGGGGGATGAAATGCCTTCTTTCCAGTTGAAAAGTTTTGCGAGTTTTCATTTTCGTTGGGACCCTTGCAGGGTTTTGAAATTCCTAATTTTCCCCTGTCACAGGTGGTGTTTATTTGGCGAGGGTTTGCGACATAGATTTTCCGTGAGGTTTCAAAGTAGGGATTTGGCGAGTTTGAAACATGAGGTATGCTGGTTGACTATTTTAACTTTCGGCGAATAGTGGGTTGTGCCAACTTGGCAGTCCGGCGCTTGCCTTTACGGGTTGTTTTGTGGACGAGGTTTTTTGACTCCGACGAAGAAATGGAGCTTCGCCCCTATAGACCCTTGACGCTTTGGCGCGGGCCGTAGTATTTTAACGTTCTTGTTAGTTGTTGCAATAACACTTTTTAACACACGTTTGTGTTGGGCCGTGGGCCAAAACAAAAAAAAAAAAAGAAAAAAAAAAAAAAAAAAAAAAAAAAAAAAAAAAAAAAAAAAAAAAAATGTTAAAGCGTTTTTGTGGGACAGAGTCCTTTGGCTTTCCGAGTTTACCAATCTTGTACACGCAAACAATGAAGTGAAAACTAAAAACTCAGTTTTTCATGTCAAAAAAAATTTGAATCCTAGTTTCAGAAAAATAAATGGAGCTTCGCCTTTTCCTTATTTAGATCCCTGAACAGTCACGGCGCGTTCTTCGTTGGGACCCTGCAGGGTTGAAAATTCCTGGTCACTGGCGAGGGTTTTGGCGACATAACCGTTGACCAAAGTAGTGGATTTGGCGAGTTTGATAACATGAGGGATGCTGTTGTTGCAACATTTAACTTTCGGCGAAAATAGTGGGTTGTGCCAACTTGGCAGTCCGGCGCTCTGCCTTTTAACAACGAACACAACACGAGGGCACTTTTTGACCCCCGAAGAAGAAAATGGATTGCCCTAAACCTACGCGCCAAGCCTTTGAGCGCGGGCATCTATGTCTTCGCAAAAATTCGAAATTCTTTCATCAGTTTTTTTTTTTTTTTTTTTTTTGTTTTTTTTTTGTGTGTGTGTTTGTGTATCTCAAGAAAAATATACAGAAGTAAATTTCTAAAAAAATGATGCGTGCTCCCAGCTCAACCATTTGATTTATCGCTATACTCTGAAACGGAGCGTTAATTTACAACCGTTGCTTTTGGAACCTATTAGAATTTGATTCGTCATTTCCCGCTGAAGATGTCCGGGAATTGGTTTGAAAATTAGTTCCTGTTAATCTCCTCGTATCTCCAAATCCGGGACTGTATTCAATTATTTGGTCTGTTTAGATCCTCATTTGTTCATCATAATCTTCTCGTATCTCCACATCCGGAACTGTATTTCACTTATCTTGCCGTATTGGAACCTCATTTGTTCATCCTAAATTCTACTAGAACTTCTAGGCTACCGTAATGACTCCTTACATTCGACGAACATTTTTTTTTCCATTCAACAGGCTGCCAGCATTCCTCATGAGCTTCAATCGATATATATATATTATATATATATATTTTTTTTTGACTTCCTGCTGCTCAGCGAACAGATAAGTTTTTTTTTTTTTTTTTTTGATTAATTCTTGGTTAGTTAAATATTATAGATTTCTGCAGTTAAAATGATTGAATTAACTTAATTTTTTGAACCTTAAATTTTTGTAGTTGATAAATTTATCCTAACTCTATAGAAATCATTTTTCTTTGGTGTATCAATTAAGTAAAAGCATTAAATTGAATAAAGATTTATAACCTTATTAAAATTATTGTAACTTAACTTAATGGTTAAGAAAATTAAGTTCTTCAGGAAATTATTTAATTGAACTTTTTTTTGAATTACTCTTTGGTGAGGATGATTTGTAATAGTGCTTGTA